GTTGGGTTTCAAGCAGGAGGTAATCCTACTTGGTGTGGCCGCACTTGCTTTCGTGACATAGTTTTGGGGTCCAAGCGGGGGCGATCCTACGTTTTGGTGCCCAGCACTTGCCATGAATCTGGCTCGGATTTTTAAGCGAATTTCAGCTACCAAGTAGGGGTGATCCTACTTCTGGGCACTTGTTTTTTTTTTGCAAATTCAGCAGAACTGGAGGTTGTTGGGTCTGACTTCCCTCCAGGAGGCTGGGTTTCCAAGTAGAGGTGACGCTACTTGAAGGCCACAGGTTGCCCATCGACACTGCCAGGCAGTGACCAGAGGGTTGTGGGCCTCTGCTGTCTTAAGCAGGTTGGGTTCCACGCAGGAGGTAACCCTACTTGGTGTGGCCTTATTGCTTTAAGCAGGTTGGCATAACCCTACTTGGTGTGGCCTTATTGGGGCATAGGTTTTGGGTCCAAGTTGGGGGTGGTCCTACTTGAGAGTGCCCAACACCTGCCATGAACATGGCTTGAAATTTTAAGGAAATTTCAGCTTCCAAGTAGGGGTGATCCTACTTCTGGGCAACTTGCTTTCTTTTTTTTTTGGCATTTTCAGCAGAGCTGGAGGCTGTTGGTTTTAACTGCCCCAAGCAAGCTGGGCTTCCAAGTAGAGGTAACGCTACTTGGGGATTACAGGTTGCCCACTGGCACTGCCAGGGAGTGACCACAGGGCTGTGGGCCTCCGCTGTCTTAAGCAGGTTGGGTTTCAAGCAGGAGGTCATCCTACTTGGTGTGGCCGCACTTGCTTTCGTGACATAGTTTTGGGGTCCAAGTGGGGGCGATCCTACGTTTTGGTGCCCAGCACTTGCCATGAATCTGGCTCGGATTTTTAAGCGAATTTCAGCTACCAAGTAGGGGTGATCCTACTTCTGGGCACTTGTTTTTTTTTTTGCTGCAAATTCAGCAGAATTGGAGGTTGTTGGGTCTGACTTCCCTCCAGGAGGCTGGGTTTCCAAGTAGAGGTGACGCTACTTGAAGGCCACAGGTTGCCCATCGACACTGCCAGGCAGTGACCAGAGGGTTGTGGGCCTCTGCTGTCTTAAGCAGGTTGGGTTCCACGCAGGAGGTAACCCTACTTGGTGTGGCCTTATTGCTTTAGTGGCATAGGTTTTGGGTCCAAGTGGGGGTAGTCCTACTTGAGGGTGCCCAACACCTGCTATGAAATCCTACTTCTGGCAACTGGATTCTTGCAATTTCCGCAGAGCTAAAGGCTGTTGATTTTGGCTGCCCCAAGCCAGCTAGGTCTCCAAGTCGAGGCACCGCTACTTGAGGCTCACAGGTTCCCCATCGACACTGCCAGGCAGTGACTACAGGGTTGTGGGCCTTTGCTGTCTTAAGCAGGTTGGGTTCCAAGCAGGAGGCAATCCTACTTGGTGTGGCCTTAATTGCTTTAGCGACATAGGGTCCTTCCAATTGGGGGTGATCCTACTGGTGGGTACCCAACACTTGCCATGAATATGGCTTGAAGTTCAACCGAATTTGAGTTTCCAAGTAGGGGTGATCCTACTTCTGGAAACATGTTTTGTTTTTGCAATTTCAACAGAGCTGGAGGCTGTTGGTTTTGACTGCCCCAAGCAGGCTGGGTTCCCAAGTAGAGGCAACGCTACTTGAGAAGCCCAGGTTGCCCATCGACCCTGCCAGGCAGTGACCACAGGGCTGTCTTGAGCAGGTTGGGTTCCAAGCAGGAGGCAATCCTACTTGGTGTGGCCCTAATTCCTTTAGCGACATAGGTTCGGCGTCCAAGTAGGGGTGATCCTACCTGAGGGTGCCCAGCTGTTGCCATGAATATGGCTTGAATTGTTTAAGCGAATTTCAGTTTCCAAATAGGGGTGATCCTACTTCTGGAAACTGGATTTTTGCAATTTCAGCAGAGCTGGGGGCTGTTGGTTTTGACTTCCCCAAGCAAGCTGGGTGGCGGCAGTGAGCACAGAGATGTGGGCCTCTGCTGTCTTAAGCAGGTTGGGTTTCAAGCAGGAGGTAATCCTGCTTGGCGTGACCTTATTGCTTTAGTGACATATGTTTTGGGCCCTAGTGGGGGTGATCCTGCTCGCCATGAATGTAGCGCCAGTTTTTAAGCGAATTTCGGTTTCCAAGTAGGGGTGTTCCTACTTCTGGAAACTTGGATTTTTGCGGTTTCAGCAGAGCTGGAGGCTATTGGTTCTGACTGCCCCCAGCAAGCTGGGTTTCTAAGTAGAGGTAGCGCTACTTGAGGATCACAGGTGGCCCATGGGCATTGCCAGGCAGTGACCACAGGGCTGTGGGCCTCTGCTGTCTTAAGCAGGTTGGGTTACAAGCAGGAGGCACTCCTGCTTGATGTAGCCCTACTTGCTTTTGTGACATAGGTTTGGGATCCGAGTGGGGTCAATCCTACGTGGTGGTACCCAACACCCGCCAGGAGCCTGGCTCGAATTTTTTAAGCGAATTTCAGCTCCCAAATACGGGTGCTCCTACTTCGGGACACCTGAGGTTCTGAGCATTCAGTAAACTGGAGGCTGTTGGTTTTTGACTTTTCCCGAGCAAGCTGGGTTTCCAAGTAGAGGTAACGCTACTTGAGGGTCACAGCTTGCCCACCGGCACTGCCAGGCAGTGACCACAGGGCTGTAAGCCTCTGCTGTCTCAAGCTGGTTGGGTTTCAAGCAGGAGGTAATCCTACTTAGTGTAGCCCTACTTGCTTTAGCGACATAAGTTCGGCATCCAAGTGGGGGTGATCCTACCTGAGGGTGCCTAGCAATTGCCATGAATATGGCTCGAATTTTCAGCGAATTTCAGTTTCCAAGTAGGGGTGATCCTACTTCTGGAAACTTGGATTTTGCAATCTCAGCAGCGTGGGCTGCTGTTGGTTTTGACTCCCCCAAGCAAGCTGGGTGTCGGCAGTGCGCTCACAGATATGGGCCTCTGCTGTCTCAAGCCGTTTGGGTTTCAAGCAGGAAATATTCTGCTTGGCTTCAGTGACGTAGGTTTGGGGTCCAAGTGAGGGTCCTACTCGTTGGCACCCGTTTTTTTTTTCTTCTTTTTTTTTTTACGTTCTCAGTAGAGCTGGAGGCTGTTGGTTTTGACTGCCCCAGCAAGCCAGGTTTCCAAGTAGAGGTAACGCTACTTGAGGTTCACAGGTTGCCCATGGGCATTGCCAGGCAGTGCCCACAGGGCTGTGGGCTTAAGCTGGTTGGGTTTCAAGGAGGAGATGATCCTGCTTGGTGTGGCCTTATTGCCTTAGTGATTCAGGTTTGGAGTCCAAGTGGGGGTCATCCTACTTGCTGGCACCCATGTTTGCGTTTTCAGCAGAGCTGGAGGCTGTTAGTTTTGCCTGCCCCAGCAAGCCAGGTTCCAAGTAGAGGGAACGCTACTTGAGGTTCACAGGTTGCCCATGATCATTGCCAGGCAGTGGCCACAAGGCTGTAGGCCTCTGCTGTCGTAAGCAGGTTGGGTTTCAAGCCGGAGGCAATCCTACTTGATGTGGCCTTACTTGCTTTTGTGACATAGGTTTGGGGCCCACGTGGGGGCGATCCTACGTGGTGGTGCCTTCCACTTGCCATGAATCTGGCTCGAACTTTTAAGCGAATTTCAGCTTCCAAGTACGGGTGCTCTTACTTCGGGAAACTTGAGGAGCAGGGCATCTATGGGCGAGTTGGCTATGGTGACCTTATGGCAGTGAAGGCTTGCCAGGACGAGAGTGTCACCAGCTTGACTTCAGAGATTGAAGAATGCTTCGAGGTGATCGAAGCAGTGATGCGTTTCGAGCCAAAACGTGAATTTACAGTTTTGTTGCTACCAATTGCGAAGAACTACAATTCCTGTGGCAGCCTGCAGAGACCCACATTGCGCAGTTGGAGCTCTCCATGGTAATTTACACCTTGAGTGAGAGCCCTGGCCTTCTCCGCCATCGACACGGTCTATGGTTCCTCGACGCTGTGGCTGCAGTCATGACCTTAGTGAGGGGACGTTCTAGCAATTCGGACCTAGCAAAGCTAGGCCATCTGATTCCTTTGGCCCTCTTCGCACTGCGTGCCCAGGGCTACTGGGAGTACGTCCAGAGCAAGAGCAACTGGGCCGACGACTTGGTGGCGCTGCCATGGATCTAGCTTTCATTCGTCGTACCTCCCCACAATCTTTTTCCAGTTGCCATTCGTTGCAGTCATTCTCACCTTTGAATTCCTCTAGTGCTTTGGGTGTTTGAGTGCATTGGGTGATACCTGCAAAGGCAGGTCCCAACCTGGGGTGACCAGGTTGCTGACCAGAGGTGATTCGGTCTGGGGCTATGTGCGAGTCACATTGTGACACATCCAAAGCAAACCTGAGGAGAGCAGGTGAAACAGACTGAACTTTGGTAGGTGGTTGAAAAAGAGCTGTGCGCGGAAGACGTGGTGAGTTCTTCATATGTCACTTTGAGATGTATTCATGCATTGAGTTTGGCAGGCTTGGGTGTGCATGTGTCATCTTTAAGTGAGTCAATGAATGCTTTCATTTTGGCTCAAGTGGAGCTGAGCCAAAATAGCATTCATTGCTGTTTCTTTCCCCACCCTCCCAACCCTAAGAGCCGACCTCCCGTGGAGATGTCCGCCTAGGTTAGGGGAGCCTGCATGGCAGGCGAGTACATAGCCTCTTTCGGGGATACTCTTTTGGGGCGACCAAAAGAAACTTCCCTCCCTTAGGTTAAGGGACGGGTGATACCTGCAAAGGCAGGTCCCAACCTGGGGTGACCAGGTTGCTGACCAGAGGTGATTCGGTCTGGGGCTATGTGCGAGTCACATTGTGACACATCCAAAGCAAACCTGAGGAGAGCAGGTGAAACAGACTGAACTTTGGTAGGTGGTTGAAAAAGAGCTGTGCGCGGAAGACGTGGTGAGTTCTTCATATGTCACTTTGAGATGTATATATATATATCATATACATTATTAAATAACCAAATTTTGTGTCTAAAAACTCATCATTTCATCCATTTGTCCAAGCACGTTGGACGCCGTTCAGGAGCATCGACTCGAGGTCCAGCCCCGGGTTGGTCCATGGGGAGGAAGGGAAATTCAGCGGATAGTCCCCGGTCAATCCCATAGCTATGACTGGTTGATAGTGGTTAATAATGATTGATAGTGATTACTATAGTAATTTATCCAGATTAATGGTGATTAATAGTGGTTAATAATGGTTCATAGTGGTTAATAACCCATATGGTGGTTTGGAACATTTTTGATTTTCCCCAATAGTTGGGATGATGATCCAACCTGACGAACTCATATTCTTCAGAGGGGTGGCGAAAAACCACCAACCAGTATATATTTATAGCATTGTATGATATTGTATAGCTAATGATGATTGGTAAATCATGGTAAATCCCCATTTCAGTGATTGATACATGTGATACAATCAGCTAATCTGATTATGATTGATACAAGATAGAAATTTGGATGGGTCAAAATGATTGGAATTAAGACACAGGCTGGGTTTGCTACTCAAAAGAACAAGATCTGCGGGTCCATTGGCAAATGGTATCCTAATTTCGACCTGTTCATGGTTGAAAGGAATGTTTTGCATCTCACAAGAAGGGGTTGTTTTCTTTACCCTCTGGTTATGACTAACATAGCCATGGAAGCCATGGCCCGTTTATAGATGATATTCCCAGCTAGAAACCTCCATTTATAAGGGATTTTCCATGGCTATGTTAAATAACCAGATGGTATGTCAGCCTTAAAAGGCTTAAATCTCTGTAGTTTCATCCCGGAAGGTCTGTCACGGGTCTCATTTGTGGGAAGGTCACTCGTTTTGCGCCATCCAATACGCTAGTCGGACAAATAGGTCAATATATACATTAATACACAGTAGTATAAAGAAATACATATGCTATCATATGTATATACATGTATGTGTATGCAATTGTATGCATATATTTCAGTTATTTTTGTTCAATACCTTATACAAATCTTCGGTAGGTCGTGCGTCCTGGCCGGACGTGTGCCATGACCGATCCCAAGTTGTCCATTTTTTTTTTGCGTCACCCCGCAGTCTTATCCGGTTCAAGGCCAAAGCCGTTAGGTCCTTGTTAGGTCGTTCGGCAAACAATGCGGTCTGCCTTTTTCTATGATCACTTTAGGGAGGTGCAGCCATCCAATTTTTAAACCTAGCATCTCATTTCAATATTAAGAAGTTGGATTTTGTGGCCAGCCTAAAAGTTTTACCCCCCAAAATCAGCCATTACAAAAGGGGCACTGACCACATTTGCTGTGCAAAAGTGTTGCCCATCTGCACCCTGCTGGGATGCTCAGTTCACTAGAGAGGTGTCAGTAGACGATATCGAATCATGTTTCATGATATATCATTTATATATATACATATATATACGGGTATATAGATACATAAATATGTACAAACGGGTGTATTTATATATATATATAGAGATTCATAAATATGTACATGTACAGACATATATATATACTATTAATAATAATAAAATAACAACAATGCACTAGCAGCCAGTATAGCAATCTCGTTTCATTCAACCGAATAGCGACATAAGATTTTGTGGCACAGCAACTCCAATATTCGTTTCAATAGAGTCTCAAGTGCAAATCAGCTTTGGTTTGTGGCTCAAGGCTTAAAGTACGCGGAACCCGATTATTCAGTACTGAAAACGACCAATTTTGCCAGTTCAGCTGCTTCCCCGCCATAGAAAAACTCAGGTGCAGCACACATGATGTGACTGGGCAGCATCACCCCAACTGGCTGAACCATCCGCTTTTTAGGGAAACTATTCTGTGTTAGCTGTCCGCTTTACATATGGTGAAAATCACAAAATTATGACGACGGAAATATTAGCGAAATATCCAGTCACCATATGTGAAAATAACTGGAAAAATGACACATCCAGTTGGTTTTCGAAGTCATTTTGTCCCACTTCCTCGTGTTGCTGACTGATTTGGACATGTGTCGTTGGTTGAGGGTTACCTCCGTACTGCTTCATAGTACTACCAATGCTATACCAAACCGAGGCGCGTTATTTGTTTTTTTTTCCAAAAGAACACTATTGGTTGCTATATTTAAATATATTTATATATTTATGTATATATTTATATATATTATATTATATATATATATATGTATTTATATATATATATATTATATATATACATATATTATGATATTTTTTGTGATAAACCCAATGCCATAAACCATCCCATGAACCAAGCAGCTCGTCTTAATGGAAAGCAGCTCGACGTGCCGAGGCGATCCACATCGCAACCACTCATGCGAGCAGTGCCTGAACCATTGAAGTGTCGCGGCATCATGTGATCCAAACAACAAAGGTGCATATACCCTCTGGTTATTTAACATAGCCATGGGAAATGGCCCATTGATAGATGGTTTACCTATTAAACATGGTGGATCTTTCCATGGCTATGTTAAATAACCAGATGGTGTATATATATATATATATTAAATATATTATAATGATATATATATATATTTATACACCTTTGCACATGAATATGTATCAACTAGCATACGATATGCCCGAGAGATACTTCCCCAAAAGTCGCTTGCATTCTGCTGGAGATCCTCAGGTTTGGCGATGGCGTGAGTTCCCCCAAGGATCATCCGCCTGCCTTGACTCAGGCGAAGATGTTGAACTCTCAGCCCTAAATGGATGTTTATATGGTGTTTACATGGTGTTTATAGGGTGTTTATGGTAGATATATCGCAGTAGCAACTTACATCACAGGGCGCCACCCTGTGGTGATGAGGAGTTGTTGTTTGTCATTTGACTCCCCTCAAGTGGCTTGAAGTGGAACATCTCGCAAAACACAAGGGGGAACGTCAAAACAGCCATGTTTCATCGTTTTTTCCCAGAAAAATGGTTGAAACTTGTTGAACACATAATTCAATAAAAAACTTTCCCTTGATTCACCATCTGACCACCAGGCGCGACCCGGGCGAAGACCCCTGCCCTTGGACGGCGGCAAGTCTCCCTTCGGAGGGGAACTGCCTGAGTTGCGCAGAGATATGTTCCTTGGATCATCCTTAAGGATATGCTCATGGGTGTGAAACCCATGGTTCAGCCACAGAATTTCAATAATTTCAATGTGGCCACACAAAAAAGGATCGTTTAACAAGGCTCGGGGAATGGCTTTCCACAGACAACCGAAACTGGCTCGATGTGGGGCCCCTTCCCTCCTCTTTGGGATGCAACGAATGGGAACAGATTCAACGTGATTCCCATTGTCATGTCTTCCAAATATCAATAAGTCCAAGATGTGGTACCGAATCCCACTAACAACAGGACACAATATTAATATTGTCCTTTTGGTAAAAATAGAGGGGCCGGTTTGGTATACAATCTATCACCATTTACCTGTTGTTAAAGGGGTAAACAACCCCCTCTATTAATCAACCAACCACTGGGAAAAGGACATCCATGACCCCTGAAACATTAAAGAATGACAGCTATAGGCTATAGCAGTCCCGTTTCGGAGCCGAGCGCTCGCAACCAAGGTCTTTGAGGCTGCCAACGTTGCTCCTCTCATGTAGGAGCGAAAAACACCAGGGGTGCTGGAGGATATGCGGTTGGTATGCGGATGGTACCTCATCCGCAAAATCTGGTGAAGACGGTGAAGACTCCCAAAGCAAAGGACTCCAACATGAAAAAACGAACACTCATTGGATGATGCCCTTGTTTCTAGTGGGGGGCCAAGCCAGGAGTGCCCAGGTCGAGGACTGCCGCAAGCCGATTGGATGGGACAGGTTGAAAATGTGGAGAAACCCGAAAAAGATGAGGATGATTTACAATGGAAAATCAGATTAGAATGGATTACAAGGAAAATCTATGATTCAAAAGCGACATCCAAAAGGTTCAAAGGGGACATCCAACAGTGATTGTAGTTCTTTTTGTATCAAAATATCAGCCAATCTTCCATGATATTCTGGAAACCTCAAAATTATGTGTGATTATACATAGTGTTGTAGTATATATCTGGTTGGTGGTTTGGAACATTTTTTATTTTCCATAAAATATTGGGAATAATCATCCCAACTGACTAATATTTTTCAGGGGGGTGAGTATACCACCAATTAGATATACACACATCATTTTCGACTCTAGATTCTTGGATCGAGAGGAGGACAAGTCGCCTGCCACCCCCCCGCGGCGGGTGGGCTTCGCCTCGAACGGAGGCGCCGATGAAAAAGCCCTTTGGGAAAGCCTTCACCATGGGGAAACCCCACTTTTTTACCCTACAAAAAGTGTGGATTTTCGCTGGGTTTTCCACCATCTATGTTAGGAAATCATATGGGAAATGGGTGATTTATACTGGAATTACCTATTAATTAAAGATGGTGATTTGATACATGTATCTTATGTTAGTTGGATCTGGTTGGTAAGGTATATATATATACATAGTTTTTTTTTGTGAATGATGATAGACCCAAAGTTCTACATTTGAACATAATGCTGGTTCTTAGATGTTCTTTTTGAATTAGTATATAAGTCATTCAGAATGACCTGTTAATAGCCAATATTCAGATAATAAACTTATATTGAGTGTCAGCTTCAAGTTTGTCATGTGAATTATTACAGAATTTATTCAGACGTTATCCAGAAGTTTTTGCATAAATTTCCTTTAAGATCACCCCTCAAAAGGTTCAGAAAAGGTGAGGACAATCACTAAACTTGAGGATTGTATTTTACTTTTCTGCATCTTTTTTAGAGGCTGCTATGAAATACTATGACAGGCTGGTCTTGTTTAGTATTCAACATGAAATTAAACCATTCATTCTTGTGCCAGTCGTTGCGATATCCGCTTGGCCTACCTTCAAATTTATGATCATGGGTAACTACATGGGTGTGTCTTAAAATAGGGTATGCCCCCAATTGATCATTTAATACAGAGAAAATGATGAATAACTATTAGATTTGGGGGTACACCATTTTCAGACCAAAGCATATAAACCCAACAATGGTTGCGATATCACCAGCACGTACTGTATGGATTGATCTACATGGGGAGAACGAAATGTGGAGTAGGGAAATGCCACATGACCAGCAAGAATGTTGATAGACCCAACAGCAACATCAACAAAACAGGGGGATCAGGGAACACCATCTGGACAGCAGTTGGCAAATCCATGCTGGGAGTTGATGATGTGAATTTGTGTTGCCGAAATTTGATGATGTTGATGATATCTTAGCTTCTCTTGGTCAATGATCTTTCATCAAACTTCATTCTAGGAACCAGCCATCTCTAGCTTTGGTGTTGACTGGTTGACTTACGTCAAGGAATAAATCTTCAGCCAATATGTGGCGAGGGTGGTAGGACACCTTGACTCATAGCAAGGCCAATCACCTCAGAAATTCATTTTGATCCTACCAGTGAGTCTGTTCCATGTCTGTTCCAATGACTATTTTCATGTGGGATTCACCCAAAATATCCCAAAATCACCATCCCCACGTCAAAAATTTCTGGCTGGGATGGGCATACCATCCTCAGTGTAGGTTGACTGTTTTGCCAGGGTTGCCATGTTTGGATCACTAGGAGTGTACCAAAATCATCCCAATCATCCCAAATCCAGGTGAATCCAAAAGCAAATTCCATGGGAATTCCCATGAAACCTCATTAAAATTCTTGAAATTCCATTCATCTGGGTAAATTATAACGACCTCACTGCGACCTCACTGGAATCATAGTTAATAAGGGAAATCATCCCCAAGTGGCCTTAATTCAGGTTAGTGAAATATTATAATCTACCCAGATTCATCTTCCATAAAATGTCTAATGTCCATTGAATTTTCATGAAATCCATGGCTTAAGCCATGCCGAAACTCGCCTCTTGGAGGAACCCCCTTTGGCACTCCCTCAGCGCTAGAGAAGTCCAAGATCCGAAAGGAGAAGCGCCGGGGGAACCGTCGGAACCGCCAATTTTTGCGGGGACAATTGGCAAACATGATCTTTTTTAAGTATGAAATTGTATGATTTTGTGATTGATCGAGCTTTCTAATCTGATTTTGACAGGCGCAGCACTTCGTTTCTGGCCTCACTTTTTGGTGGCAGGCGCAGTAATGGCAGCAGAAATCTGCAAATCGTACTGTAATTGTGCGGTCGAAGATATTAGTGACATGTCAGATTTGCAGGATGTCTCGCAGAAAGAAGCCTCATTGTTCAGCTTACAACTTCCAAATTTGTAGGACATCTCGCAGAAAAGTTTTGTTTTTGAGCTTTCAACTTCCAAATTATTTGTAGAAAGTCTCGCAGAAAAGCCGCGTTTTGCAGCTTTCAACTTCCAAACTGGGCGGAAGTCTTGCAAAATAGATTTGTTTTCAGATAGATAGATAGATAGATAGATAGGCAGGCAGACAGTAGACAGATAGATAGATAGATAGAATAGAATAGAATAGAATAGAATAGACAGACAGACAGACATTACACAGATAGATAGATAGATAGCTAGATAAAGACATATAAATAGACAAAGACACATAGATAGACAGACAGATAGATAGATAGATAGACTAACGATGGGAACGGCGCTGAGAGGCGCCTGGTGGTTTTAAAGGTGGTTTGCGTGCACTTCCCAATGAAACTGTGCATGCAGCCTTGCACGCCTGTTTTTTCACTTCTCAAAAAGTACTTCAACCATGGAACAATTTCAGCGTAACATGGTGTAACATGAACATGAACGTTAACATCCCACCCCACCCCATCATAAACGTAACATCATCATCTCACCCCACCCCACCCCACCATCAAACAAAAACAGAAAAACACCAAAAAAAAGACAACAAAACACCCAGGCGCCCTACAGCGCCCATGGCAACTAGATAGATAGACTAACTAGATAGCTAGATAGATAGATAGATAGACAGACAGATAGATAGATAGATAGAGAGACAGTCAGATAGGCGATAAAAACTCAGAGCATCAGCCACTTTTCGGTCCATCAGTTCGCTCTGCCATCCATGCATCACAACAACCCACCTTTCCTATAGGTTTCCTATCTTTACAACTTCCGCCACCGCCTTGTGCGGTACTACTGGTATTCCAAAGATTTATGTCTACTAGATGGAATATCAGCATAATTTGGATTGCAAATATATCCAAGATATTCCAAATTATGATGTACAGTAATCATATGTAATCAACAGGAAGGCAGATTTTTGGGGACCCCCCTCTCTCTTAGTCGGATGGTTCGAATCAATCCAGTGAGAAAGCGTCATCAATTTCCAATGAGTTCTGCATTTTTTTTAAAGGGCCCAAGTCCCAAATATGTGTAGATCCCGTTGAAAACCAGTCTGGTGGATGTTGAAAGTGATTCAGCACCCAGTCGCTCCAGAAAAACCATGAGGACAAGAAAGAAAAAGAGGGGATAGTGCGATCCAAGTCTCAGTTTGGGCGAAGCGTTTCTCGGTTTCGACCCAATTGGCACTGAGCACAGAGACATCAGAATCTGATTGTATGTTTTTTTTTAGATGGAGTATTCTCAAATGGTTCATCACAATTTTCCCTACACCCATGATGAAAATTTGGGAGGGCAGGATTTTTTTTTACCGCAGGATTTTGAGGTAGCCCACTTGGCGAATATGGGATGGGGATGAGAAACCCACATGGCGAAACCATATTCCTTGGTTGTCTTTGGACCATTGAATTCTGCATATCAAGAGATTTTCTATCACAAGTTCATCACAATTTTCAGTGGCAAAATGTCAAAATGTTCTTTTGGTTCCTTGGTGTTTTGCTGATCGGCACAAAAGAGATTGCAATTCGAACCAGTTGTGAATTCTAGCAATTGACAACTGTCAAATCTGGGATTTTCAACAAAGTGAGTAAGTGAGGAAATCGGGTATGTTGCCGTACATGATTTTGTCTGAAAACGGAGGATACCCCTTAAAATTGCCATTTGAATGGGGAACATGATGATATAATGTATGTATAGACGCATAATTATATATATAATCATATATATATAATCATATATATATAATCATATATATATAATCATATATATGTACAATCATATGTACAAGACGGTTGGGTGTTTTCCGAACATGTCGACCACAAATCATTTTTGAAGTTTGTGATTGAATTGTTGGGGTGTCATCTGCCGCCAAAATGCCCCAGTCACCAAGCATTGAGAATTGGTCCTTGTAGCCGGGAGAATCGCTATGAATTTCGAAGATTTAAGCGTTGATGAAGTTTGTATTGGAGTGAGCATCGGATGTTAGCTTTTGCATAAAACCATATAAAACCTCCCAAAAGAGACCCGGGGACTCGCAAAAAAAAATACGTTTTGCCGACTGTCCGTTTCAGATTTGTTCAAATCACAGGGGTATGGAGTCTGTGTTGAATCATGATGCGGACTGGCCAAGGTGTTTTGCCTACCCGGTGTCGTTTGCACATGATTTACCACATGTATCCACATGTAACTTTCAAGGTGCTGCATCCGTTTGCTAAGTTGCTGCAGATCATTTGCTTCACGTTTGGGTCGTTTGTTTGGGAAGTACAGCATTTATGGAGTGTGGGTAAATTATAACGACCTCACTGTTCTCCCTCACTGGAAATCATGGTTAGTAAGGGAAATCATCCCCTTCTATGGCCGAACTATTCAGGTTAGTGAAATATTATTTCATTTACCCAGACTGATATAGTGGAATAGATCAATCCCCAAAATCCCCAATAGATGGTTTATTATGTAAATATGAAGATATCTGATGGATGTTGTATTATATGTTGTATAGTATCCATTATATGGTGTATAACACCATTAATATGTTCAATGTTTTCAATTGATATACCATATTGTGTATATATATATATACATATGTTGTATTATGTGTTGTATTTACCCAGATGGAGTGTATAAATCAAGAAACACATCACTGGGGAATCCCAGCAACCCCAGGCAGGACCTGCCCACCTGCTACCTGCCGCGCCGCAGCGTCGAGGTCCTTTTCCTCGACGACGAGAGCAATCTACCGCGTGCGCGACGATCGATTCGCAGGCGACGGATGGGAATCCAGTTTCCCAGTTTTTTCACAGGGGGAATCGATGAGAAAATGCTATAATATATCCATTACTAATGATAGTGGTAGTGGTTATAACTGGTTATAGTAGAAAATGTTAATGGTTATAACTAGTTGGATACCATCAAACATGAATGAATAGTTGGGTTTAACCTAATAGTTGAGTTTCAACATGAATGAACTCAAACAAGAATCTTGAAAACGCTGGATTCACGGAAAGTTTGCTAAAAAGAAAAGTATATTTGGGGGTTAAACAAATGGTTTCCTAATTTTGCCTCAATCCTTAGTTTTTTCGATAGAAGCATTATGACCCCACTGCGCTTCCCTTCTATACGTTCCGATGCGTTTCAATCACATTTCGTTGCTCTCCTGCAGTTTGATTCTGACAGCATTCTGCGCTCAAAGACTCTGATGGTAATGCAGAAGATACGTGCCTAGCCGTGCCTAGGTTGTTCTTCTTCAGGCCATCATACCCTGTCAACAATAGCTAATTCTTCAGAGTTTTCTCAAACTATCTCATGTGCAGAATCCCAATCACCACTAACCACTAACCATCACTAATCATCCCAAACTAATCATCCCAACTTCCAAGTCGTCACCTTTCTGGAGGCAAAAGACTTGGACCTGTAGCAGCATCCCCCCACAAACAGTGCGGCACCTCAGAGAGGTTACCCAGTCGGACAGTGGGTGGATTTAGCCCATGGAAATTCTGGTGATGTTCCCATGGATTTTCCATAGTTATGTTAGTTATGTTTCCATAAATGGAAGTTGAAGTTTACATAAATATGGAGGTAGCCATTTGAAAAAAAATATGGCTTATAAGGGAAAAATGTGAAAATGACATGGATGATGACTGGGGTACCCCTATTTCAGGAAACCTCCATACATGGAAGAAAGGTCACCGAGATTCAACAGAAAAAAATAGCAAAGAAACAGATACGATTCCAATGAAGTGTAGGTATTGGCCATGTTTGATGCTTGTCATTCGATTTTTGAGTAATGTGGGAAATTTGATCACGGTGAAGAACAGCAGGAGTCACACTGGATTATCTCATGTCCCTCTATGAGAGGTTTTGCGCTTGCCAAAGTAATTAGTTGACACAGCTGTTTTCAACTTGTAATGCACGCTTCACTGATGGACTAGTCTATGTCATATATAGTGAAGGTCCAGCGTCGGCTGTAAACGATTGCTCGACTAATCTATGGACCAGGTTCCACGATAGCCATGGTTGGTTCTATCCCTCATGTTGGAAGATCCTCCACAAGTCACCCACGAAAGCCAGGTTCATCTTGGTACCTGGTTTCAGATATGTACTGCCTTTCCATGCCTACTAGTACCTGGAATGATGCGGGGACAACTGTAGTGTCTAGTCGTGGGACGGTCATATGAGTCATAACATCAGTGTTGATTGATCTTCCCACTTTTTTTTAAAGGTATTTGGTGGTATCTTTTGCTATTTCTATCCAAAAAAACTCTCCTGGCCGACTCCCAGGAAGCTTCAACTCCCAGTTATGTCATTCCCTCAGCTCCCGGTCCTACCGGGTTTTACCGGGTCCTACCGGGCACGGCAATGTGGGTTGCATCGGTTCCATTTGGCATGGTAAATGGGACACGTTGGGAAGGTACATGCGGAAGTTCCTCCAAAGGGGCCCTCTTCTGACTCACATCTTCGAGTATCTTCAGGTGTCTAAAGCAAAAATGTGTTCTCAACTCCCCTCAGGAAAAAAAAAAAAACACCAGCTAGCATAGCGATCCTCAAAAATCCTTCCCTCTTAGTTCTCTTGGTTCACCTTCCATCACCTTTCCCTTGGCATATTAGTCCAACCATGTGGTATAGCGGTATACCATCCAAGGTCAATTTTGCGGGAAACAACGATGATTATGGTAATTCATTGTAATTCATTGTAATACCGTCCAACTGATGGTAGCCTAGGATTTCAGTCAAACCCCCTTCTTTAGTGGAGTTCATGGGGCGTTCCTTTACATTTAGGATAATAGAAACGCACAAAAAGACAGACACGTATTTTCAGGATGTTACTTCGATGATATTAGAGTACTTCATATATTTCCAGCCTTACTCTTCGGCATCCATCTCTTGGGGCTGGTTACTACATACTTATCATATCACTTATCTATACTTGATCAACAGAGTGAGTTACTATACTCCACCCAATTTTTGGCAGTAACCAATTTTGGCTTACTATACACTTCCTCAATTTTGGACATCCTCCAGAAAATCACCCCCAAAATCACCCGGAAAATCATCCAAAATCGCCAGGTCAGTCACTCCCCCAAGAGTTCATCCTCCGTCCCGGCGTCCCCGGACTCCACGATGAGCTCACCAGGCAAATGCGAACAGATTGGGATTCGATGATGCGAAATTAGGACTTTAGCAATCATGGGAATTCCATTGGACAATTGGGGTTTAATCAATAATTTATATAAGTGCTCAATAAGAATAATATGGTTTAATCAATAAGAAGATTTCAGTGCGATAAACCTAACTTGGCTTCTGATCAACAAAAATGTGGATGCAATAGACAAGTAGCAGATATGGGAGTGGTGATGACGCGTCGCAGCATGGTTAAACAATTTTGATCAGCGAATTGGTGTATATATGATACGCATCCAATATTGCAGTGATGACAATTGTACACAATTGTCTTGCATTTGGCCAAAACAAATCTACCATCAATTTTGACAAGTGGTTGCAACGCGTAGATATTGGAGCCATTTGGTGCTCCGAAAATGGGCAAACTGTGGTTGGAGGACTGTACTGTTTGGCCCATGTATAGTCTCCATCAACTTTGGTCAGACTATGCTGACTTTTTTTAGGGGATATAGTGGGGATATCACCAACCCTTGGACCAAAGCCAACACAACTGCTGGCAAGGAATTTTGTGAGCATTTCAATGAGAATGCTCCCAACATCCGGAAGTTTCCATCATGTGGACATTGGGAATGTTGGCTCAAGTGCCAATATCATTTACCCTCTGGTAAACTAACATAACTATGGAAAATCACCATGTTTAATGGGAAAATCCACTATAAATGGTCATTTTCAATAGCTATGTTAAATTACCAGAGGGGAGGCCTTGGAAGGACTAAGCTAAAATTCAAAGCATTGGTCGCTGGGGTCCCTCTTGGCCTCACAGCGACGGATGTCCCAATCCGCACACGCCGCCTGACCATTCCTGGGAAAGGCATTGAACTTCTGATGGGGTACCCTTAAATCCAGATGTTACCAGAAAAATTACCAATTTCCGTAGTAAACTTGTCATTTTGAGAGCATTCCCATTTTTGAAGACACACCCAAGCAATTGCTGAATCTCATTACTGATGATTCATCCCAACTATAATCCCCATACTTGATGGTTAACCCAGTCAAGCCAAAGATAAAACCCCATGATATGTCCGTCTTTTTCCGTGGAATCTGCAGGCTTTCATTGGACCAAAGGGTCTTCGATTGGTACTGGATCGCATGGCTGCGTTTACAAGGACGATTCCGCTCTCCGCTGCGTTTTTTCATCCCAACCTGGCGATAGGATGCGATAGGCAAATGGCTACCCCTGGTAACTGGGATGGGATGTTCATCCAAAAATTTGGGACCTTTTTTAACATGGTGTGTGCAGAAGCTCGATTTTGCCAGGCCGAGTTTTAAAAAGCCACTGAGTTCAGTGGAACTGCAGCCCCTCTAAGTTATAGTACACTTGTATTGTTACCCTCTGGTAATTTAACGTAGCTATTGAAAATGGCCATTTATAGTCATTTATAGTGGATTTACCAATGAAAAATGGTGGTTTTCCATAGTTATGTTAGTTTACCAGAGGGTAATTATTATTGTTTCTTGTCCTTAACAAATCCCATTCCCCCACTGCCAGGCTCTCAATACACTCACGGGCAAAATCTTTGCCGTGAAGCAGAGCATTGTGGATGAAGCTCGGCGCAATTGTCATGCAGCTGTGTCCGAAAAATGGATAATACCATGTGATCCTGCACTTATGACAAATTTGAAGAGGGAAATATAATATGAATAATATGAATAATATGAATAATATGAATAAAATGAATAATATGAATATGATGATGATGATGATGATGATGATGATGGTGATGGTGATGGTGATGGTGATGGTGATGGTGATGGTGATGGTGTTGGTGATGGTGATGGTGATGGTGATGGTGATGATGATGATGATGGTGGTGATGATGATGATGGTGATGGTGATGATGATGATGATGAACCATCAAATTTGGACGTTCCCTACTGACAAAGCCATGTTTTCTCCCCTTCAAACAACGGCCATTGACCAGTCCATGTGTTTGAAAAACAACCAGTGCATGGAGTGCTAAAAAGGATTAAAAAGGACATGTGTTTGACAATCCAATGTACATATTACATCTACGTGTGTGTGTGTATATATATATATATGACATATATATATATATATGACACACACACACACATATGCATATATTTAATATATGACATATACAGAACGAACAACATGTCCCAAAAACCTGGGAAATCTGGTGATATCCAATAGATATCCCATGATTTTTGTGGAAACGCCACTTGGATGCCGTCCAGGATCGAAAAGAAGAGGATCGGTGCCTTGGCCACGGGGAAATCAGTGCTGCGAACATGGCCATTTTGGAACCATGAAAGAAGGTGATGTTAACCATAGATAGTTACTAACATAGTGATTTAACCATAGCTACTCCTATGTTAGGTTAGTGAAATTTAATCTATTAAAATTATGTGTGTGATTTTATCTATTGAAATAGTGATTTTAACCATTGCTATGTTAGTTTAGATGGTAAATCATCGATGGGTAAATTTTCCATGGCTGTGCTCCTGGGTCCCAAAAGGGCGACACTGGAAAATCCATATTTGGATCCCCGTTGGAATAGAGCTTCAGTCCTGTATAAAACCTAAAAACCATATATTTTTATAAGAAAAATAGGTCTTGCAACCCATTTTATAAGGTGGCAATGTTGAGTATTTGTTGGAGACTTGGGCGCACGTTTTATATGACCAATTTGTTTTGTTTAAACATATGTACTTCAATTTTACTGCTGTAGAGACATCATGTGCCTCCAGCACATTCTTTACAAAAAGCTGTTCCAACGTACAGGGCCTTTTTGCTCAAACATCCATTTTTAATATGTTTTCCTTGGTTGATATAGTATATGATTTATCACCAAGCCATTTTCCCACATGTTCCTTCATAGTCAACGCCAAAAATGACCCCATATAGTTGCTGAAAGAACCATGTCCTTTCACCAACCATTACTCTTTTTCCACTAGCATAGGATTCAATAGAAACAACCCATGTTTTACAAAATGTAGCGGTACCAAAATGGAAGCCGTAACGCTCCCGAAATGGAAGCAGTAACGGTTCCGAAATGGAAACCCGAAATGTGTCACCGACTTCAAAGAGAGTCATGACCGTGGCATAAATCACAGTCATCACTTTATAAGGAAAATACAAGGTATCAGTTTTTTATAGGGCTATCAGTTTTGTAAATAGGAACAACAAGTTTCTTTAGGGCACACGACCAATAGATACCAAAACCAATATTGACCCAGAAGCACGTATGGATTCATATGGATTCATAACTCTGGGTTCTTGGACCTCATATTTCTGCGGTTTTTGGACCCCACGTTTTTGAACAGAAAATACCAGGGTCACGAAACAGATTGGAACCCTTCTTTACAAAAAGCTGGTTGCAAAGCGATTGTGATGCTAAGCATAGGAAGGCATCAACCAATATAGGCAAGACCTGGGAAAAAATAATTGAGCGTTGGACGGGGTTGGCAAATCATGACGACCATTCTGACCCTACAAAATGCGTGTCTGGGGTAGACCGTGGGGACATAAGGGGGCGTCCAAAGACAGACAAGCAGTTGGTGCCATCTTTTGTATAAATCCTGTGGCTCGTAGATTCCAGAGGCACCGTTTTTGCAACCATGTGTTTCTTTTATTTTTTTGTTAGGGCCTATCTTTTTGTAAGAAACCAAGTTGGGCCCAAGCAAATTATACTTATAACTTCTATATCTAAAACATAAAAAAAAACTGGGCTCCAAGACCTCCGAAGTTTCATCCTGGAATTTGGACCCCCAAAACTCATCCAACAGTGGATGACCATTTTAGCATTGAACCTGGGGACTTGGGGATCCCAGGGAGACCACAAATTTCCGTGGGTCATTTTTCATGGGTCACTGGTCACTGAGGAAATACCGAGAGAGATTGGAAGTAGAACTTACGATTTGCAAGGAGACCTGAGTTGGAGGTGGTGCTAACCAGGATGATGCCCTGATAGCTACGTTTCAGCGTTTACGGCGTTACGTAAATGTTGTTTGAACATGTTTGAACTTGTTTTTGTTTAAACAAAGAACCGCGTGATAGCTTGGGTTAGATTATAGATAACTCTCTTATCCAAGAATTGTGATAGTAGAATTGGCTATATATATATATATATATATTTGTCTGGCCGATTACAATTTGTTTATAACCAACTCGTTTTTTTTCAGAGCGGGATCGCGAAGTTGGCATCGCCCAGGATGAACGTTGAAGATGGATTGGTTTATGGGAACTAATGAGGAACATGGGGATGATGATGATGATGATGATGATGATGATGATGATGATGATGATGATGATGATTCATGGGCATAGTTTTCACTTTGTTTTTTTCAGCCATTATCATGCATTATCTGTGAATCATGGGATAATGGGGATTAATTTGGAAAATGGAGATGAGTAGTGGTGTCTGTTTAACTCAAACTGGCATTTTTGTGGGGGTAAACCCACATTTTGGGACAAAGATTTTGGCATCACACGATTTTCACATGATACCAGGAGCAGGCGACGCCCATCCGAAGTCTCTGGAACCCCCACTATTCATTGCTGATTGCATTCCCCGCTATTCATTGCTGAAGTCTCCCAAGTTTGATTAAATCTGTTTTTTTTGGTGGTCCCCACTTTCTCTTAGAATCATCAGCCAATCAGAATTCATCATGGTTAACCCACCTTTTTCCTCATGTTTCACAAGCGTTCAATTGTTTGATTGGTAAATCTCCCATGTGTGCTGCTTCCAAGCCACCCTGTTTCACCATCTGCCTGGTTATACCACCATGTCTTACATGTTTTCCAACTTTTTGACGGGGAAAAAGATCATATTTTCATTTTTCACTATCATTCTACCATTGTTCTGCCATGTTTAAAAAAACACAGCTGGATAAATCACCATTTTTTGTAGGGTAAACGGTAAATCCATGTTGTTTCACAATTTTTGGATTTTTAATCCTAATGTTCCACCAATTTCAATGGTTAAATCGTCATGTTCCACCAATTTTGATGGTGAATTCTGCCAGGATTTGCGCCATCCCAACATTGTGGAGACACTGGGCTTTGAGAACGCCAGTCACTTGGCGCTTTAAAATGCCGCTGAGGGCCACATAAATAAGGGAAATCATGGAGAAAAAGTGTGGATTTTCCAACTTTAAATGATTTAAATCCATGAAACTAAGTTATGAAATCCCAAAATGATGGAAACTAAGTTGGATTTGACCAAAATGGTGGAACTGTTGGGGGTTTAAAGATCCAGAAATGGTGAAAAGACATGGATTTAACCCACGTTTGAATGGTGGTTTTACCATGTTTTACCATCAAACATTGGGATTTTTGCTGTGGTTGAAACAACAAAATCGTTGGTGCGGTTGCCCCTAGGGCCATGCAAAATGGTGATGATGAGATTACAACATGACCATATTTCAATGGAAGCATGATAAACCACCGGGATTTTGGGGGGCCCGGCAGGATGGTTCAAGGATTCACGACATCTTTCAATTCACGATGCCAAAAAGGCGCGCCTTTTCGTACACAAGATCGGCTGCCGATCTTGCAGGCAATCACTTGTACATTTACTTGGAATATGTGTCGGAATCTCAGGAACTCCAACTGAAAGAGTTTGCAAAGTAATGGCCCAGCTGAAGCGTTGAACTAGCAGAAATTCGAAAAATTCCATGCATCGTTTGGACAGTAAAGTGGACATGAAGATATCTGAAGATACTCTCCTTGGATTTGGCAAGTGGCGGGACATCGGTCATGCATGGTCATGCCATGCTTCATGGTGTCAACCATGATAAGCCACAAGTGAGCAAAGAGCAAAGCCTCAGGTTTTCGAAAGGTTCAAAAACGTATCGCCAAACGCCATGTTTTGCGGATTTCAGTCCACTGTCAATCAATCCGACGGATTTCACGGTCTCAAAAACTGGCGTACGTTTCATCTACTCCTATGGAAACAGGTGTTACAATAGGTCTGGAGGCGTTCCTCACCCAACCCAGAGGTTACCGGCGGATCAATGGGATGACCGGAGGACCCAAAAAAGATAGGCACATCCAGCCCAGAGTTGAACAGTTGGCAGCCTGGCGATGAGTTCTTTTCGCCGAATTTTCCATGAAACGATAATGACGTAAGTTATGACGTACAACTACTGTAACCAAAAGTTCGGTGAGTGAATGCCCAATTCCAATCGAGTATTCATGACTATATAAGGCTATATTCATGACAAAATTTTGGGGCTATAGTCATCTAATTATAGACATAAATACCAGAGAGTTGTTGATAAATTGTTCCCCAACTATAGATCATCATTCCCATTGTTTGTAATTCATATATGGTTTAACGATAATTTTCATCATTGAGAATGACGATCATTGTGGCTAATCATTACCCTCTGGTTATTTAGCTATGTATTTCTATGGTCATTTTCAATAGCTATGTGGCTATGTTAGTTTGCCAGAGGGTAAAAATCATATGTTTATAACATGTTTTCCATGAAATAAACCATCCAGCTATTGGGGTACCTCCATGACTGTAGAAACCACCATTTATGGTTACCCCCCTTTTTTTTAAAGACAATTCCTATCCCTCAACCGCTCGTGCTCGAGGCCGGGCGGTTCGATGAGTTCTTTGCTTCACGAATTCGGGCCGCCACTCGGTGGGAAAAAAAAAACGCGGAAAAACCAGGAAAACCCGATCATAATGGTGGATAATGGTTGGTTAATGATGGTTAATAGTGGTTAATAATGGTTAATGACATATCTGGTTGGTGGTTTGGAACCATGGAATTTTTATTTTCCATTTCATATATGGGTTGTCATCCTTCCCATTGACGAACTCATATTTTTTGAGATGGTTAAAACCACCAACCAGATTGGTTCAATATCATAGGTTGGATATAGGATTAGGATAATCTGATATTGAATATTGGATATATACTATTACACCCGTGGTAGGGTTTTCCTATGGTATAATTATTGGATATTATATATATATATCCTATATTATTGGATAATATAATATATATATATTATTGGATATTAAACCTATGATATATTCCCCATAACCTCATCCAAATCAACATTGTTTGTTGGAAAACCTAGGTGAATGAAAACCTATGCAAAAATCCCTAGCGGTCATAGCGGGCCTTATGATCCATGGATCCCAACAACATTTTTTGAACAGAAGGGCTACAAGGTTTTGACCCAGCATATCAAACCAATAGAGATTCTTTGATAATTGCTATCAATTATTAATTCAATTATGGTTATAGTTACAATAGTTACAATTAAAGATTGTTTATGAAAATATTTATCCCCAAAAAGCATTCTTGTTAGTCCCCATATTGGATATCAATATTTCATAATTTGATTGATAATTGTCTATTTATTGGTTTGATAATTGATATCCAGCAATTAATTGATAATTGATATCCATAGATAAAGGTGTGTTTATTTCATAATTTGATAATTGATATCCAACAATAATGGGGACTCCACGTAAACCTGGATTTTATTCTCCTTCGACATCAGTTTCCAAATATGTCAGATCAAAAACCACTGATTCATCATGTGAAATCATGAAGTTCTATGAGTAAAGCAAATGATTTGATCATATGAAATCATGAAATGAGAAACCGGTAGGAAACAATTCAACTGTGTATTGAAAAAACGATTCATCAGTAAGGCTGCCATAGTTTCAACTGGGGATTCTGATCCCGGCCGTCCCAGCCCAGTCGATTTCTCAGGCTGACTGGAGATCTACTCACGAGGTCGACCACTGGTGTGCTTCAGGCGCTCGTTTTTTTCATCGTCTCATCCGGTGAACAACGTGGTTCAACCATCAAAAATGCTACTGGCGGACCCACTAGAACCAGCAACCTCTATCGACTCTAGCTATCAGATGCTATCAGCAGAAGCCCCCTGCCCCGTGGCCAGGGGTTGAATTACCTACACACCCGCAATCCACCAGTGGTGCACCGTGACATCAAGGGTGTTCGGGTGCCCAGTTCTGCAGTTCCGGCGGCGTGTTGGGTGTTCCAGACTCGCAAACTTCGTGCATTGTTTGGTACTCCAAATCGTTTTTATTTTGCACAGATCTACTTTGAAGGGACAAGAAAATGATGTTGACATGTGTTCACCCAATTCTCAGCAGCCAATTTTCGTTTCCAGCTTGTCCCGTAGGATCCACGGGGATCTTCGCCGGTGTTTGATCTCACGCTTGATCTCGCCATCCAAATAAGAGGCTTTTGTGGATTAAAATGAGGATTTCATCCGCTGTCATGGATCCCAACATGGATCCCATCCAATGTTCATCATGAAACACTGAGTGACTCATTCAATTTCATATTCCAAAGTTTTTGCTGACTGGTGCCAGCTTTTCACATCTTTTCACTGAGGCCAACATTTTGGTTGATGTGAACTTTACTGTGAAGCTAAGTGACTTCGGTTGCTCCAAGCGCAGTAATGCAGCTTGGACCAATGCTGGTGGACACCTATGGCGGATTGATGTTTTTTGAGGGCTGGCCATTAAATGATGGTTAAATCCCATGAAATCCCGTTAAATGATAGTTAAATGCCCGATTAAACACGCAGAACCAATGACATATTCTGAGGAATCCCTGAACTGGACATAGGATGATATAGGAGTTCCATGAACCGTTGGCCTTTTTTTTGGGCTCCAAAGGGTTTCTGCTAGCCTATGGGTCGGAAAGGGTTCGGTTCCAAAATCGTTGAGTCCTTTTTTTTGGTTGCTTCAGTGATAATTTTCTCCAGACTTGGATGAGCCTTGAGATCGTTATTTGATGTATACGGCTACTATTGGTATGTGGTGTGTATTATACCGTACCTACTGAGTCACTCATCTTGTGTAAGCTGCTGAATGGCTTACAGGGACGGCCCCACATCAACTTGTAATTCATCTCAGATTCATATTACTGCCGGCTATATGCTCAGCTTGCCCTTACAGTATCTCTAAAGCTTGTTTATACAATATGGTACCTCTATCTTAGTGCTGGTCACATTGCTCTGCAAATCCAACCGTTTTGTTGGTCAAAGCAACTCCCAAAACATCCACGGTAAGTGGATCTTCCTCAGATGGTTCCACTGGTTTTTGACCAGGATCCCCATCATTATTTAACAAGACTTTATACACATTGTATATATATATATATATGTATTGTTCCTTGATACATAATATATGACTAATAGATGTATACTTGTGCTGTTACATTGTTTCTTGGATAGTGCTACTGTTGTCAAAGAATAGTATCTATACATGGTATCTACCACTGTCCAATGTATAATCCATCCGTTTTTCGCGGAAGGAGACCACATCCTTCACCACCATTGGGTCAATCCCATGGATGGCGCCGGAAGTGATCCAACAGCAAGATGGTTATGGACGCAAGGCAGGGGAAGAACGTGGAAACCCCCAGAACAATGGGCTTTTAACCAGCAAACATGGAGAAAAAGGCTGGTTTTACCATGGAAAAAGGCTGGTGATTTCAACTGGAAAGAATGGACATGGATGGAGGAAGATGGAGGTATGGGTTTTATATGGTTTTATTTTGGAGATCTAACTGATCTAACCATGATTTATATGGGGATTGGGATAGTGGGATTCACCATCAGCCATTGACAATTTCATGCAAGAACCGGGGGGTTGGGTATGGCTATGGATCATTATCATGATGGGGATGTCAGCAAGAATGATGGAGAACATAATATGGCTCCATTGCATTGTTGTTCAAAGCAAGAAAAGAACCGTTGAAGAATACTAAATATAGATATATATATGTTACTTCATGTTTTGCAATGTTTTTGGGTGCCCGGCCTTTCTTTGCGTCCGATTATGTGGACGTGAGAAATTTTTCGCAGAGATTGGGATTTTGTTGGATGGGACCATCTGGGCCAGGCCGATATTTGGAGCCTGGGCTGTGTACTGATTGAAATGGCCACGGCGGAAAAGCCTTGGGGCAACGGAGCCTTTGAAAATGACGCCCAGCTGCATTGCAATCTGCACAAAAAATCTGCAGTTTTGCTAGAGTTTCTGTAGCATCAAAAAATCTATATATTTATAATTACAGTTAATACATACACATAAATTATACATATATCATATATTTGTATATATCTGGTTAGTGGTTTGGACCATGGCTTTTATTTTCCATTTCATATATGGGTTGTCATCCTTCCCATTGACGAACTCATATTTTTCAAGATGGTTGAAACCACCAACCAGATATTGGTTCAATATCATAGGTTGGATATAGGATTAGGATAATCTGATACTGAATATTGGATATATAGGATATAATTATATAATTATATATGTACACATATATCATATACTTGTACATATATAATTACGTATAGATTGTGACCTGTTGGTGATGACCTAATGTTGTGGGTCCCATGGATTCCGCGAGAACCGAGGTGATGTTCGCCCTGAGGCGGGATTTTTCTTGGGGCACCATGATGTGTTGCATGTTTGCATTCAACTATTCGGATTATACCATGGTATAGGTGGCCCATAGAAATAGATGGTTTACCTATTAAAAATGGTGGATGAACTTTCCATGGCTATGTTAAATAACCAGATGGTATATATAGATATAATATATTAAGATATTATATATAGATATAGATTGTAAATTATAGATTAACCATATAACAGTAGAACCACCATAAAATATAGGATTATTCTATTTCTAGAATTAAGTTTTTATATATTTAAATATGCCATAATACATTGCAATGCCATAAAGTTTTCCAGAACTCTATTACAGTGTGGGATAATACTGTTCAGTTCCGCAGTTCTTCGAAGCGCTTAAAGGCGATCTGATGAATAAATATACCCTCTGGTAAACTAACATAGCTATTGAAAATTGCCATTTATAGTTGATTTACCCAGTAAAAATTGTGATTTTCCACAGTTATGTTAGTTTACCAGAGGGTATACTGTATGTAGTAAACCTGAAACAAGATAGAAAAGTATTTCACGACTGTAATGTTCTATCTTTTTTGCTGTTGCTATTTCTATATATATATAATCATGCTGAAGTATGGAAAGTTCAAAGAACACCAGCAAATGGGAATGATATTGAAATTTGTTC